AGTTTAAGACAATCAGACTCAAGGGTTTAAACTAATAACTCCACAATTTTGATACACATAGCCTGATATATAACTAGGGGTGGGGAATGAAATCTACATTTATTGAGGAAAATGCTACATGCACTATCCAAGGCAGAAAGATAATTATTTGCTATAAAATGAAATAAAGTAGGTATCTATATATCTATTTGTAATTTTAACTTATATGCATGAAGAAATCATGACATTTGACATAGTAGACCTATCACTTGGAGTAAATGGGAGAATTCAAAAGTTCAACCAAGAGTGAGGTCAGTTTATCCTGTATCTTATATGCCATTCCTCCATGTCTGACTCAGAGTTAAGTCGGTGGATCTATTTCCTTATCTGCCACCAGAGAACACACTGATAATTCCTACCCTGGATATAAATAAGTCTTATTTCTGGCTGGACCAATCTCTACTTCTTGTTTGATTACTCTATTAAAATTCACATCTTAGGTGAAGATTTGGCACTTGGCTCACTGTCTTCCTCTCACAGCCTCCAATCATAGTCACATCCTCATGCTGGGATATCCTCCCCTGTACTAATCATTGCCACCCAATTTCAGTCATTATCTCCTAGGACAATATACTGACCTAGCCATTTCTCTGATTTCTTTCAACTCTTGTCGTAAATTCACAACCTTGCTTTGTTTTACATTTATTTTTTCACAATCTTCTTCTATCACCAGTACTTTATCATTATGGTAAGATCTTGCCTCAAAAATTTGCCCTGGCCAGTTTGGCTCAGCGGTTAGAACGTCGGCCTGCAGAGCGGAAATTCCCGGATTCGGTTCCCGCTAAGGGCGCGTACCTCGATTGCAGTTTGTTCCCAGCCCCTGTTGGGGTTGTGTGGGTGGCAACCACTCAATGTGTCTCTCTCACATCTATGTTTTTCTCTCTCTCTTTGTCCCTTTCTCCCGCTCTATCTGAAGATAAATTCAAAAATGTCCTCAATTGAGGATTAAAAAAAAAAAATTGAAAAAAAAAAAGAAAAGATCTTGCCTCCAAAATCTGAAATAGTGGGCTAGGCAGGCAGTTCATAAACGATAAACACATTTCATAAGTTAATTGTACAGTGTATTGAAAGGAATTAACATTATGTAAAAGATGAAGGCAGTAGGAATAACTGGAAGAGTTGATGTTGATGAAGGATTTTGATAGCAATTTTTAAAAATATGTTTGACTCAGTAGGCCCTATTGAGCAAGTGATATATAAACAAAGAATTGAAGGAGATGCAAATATTTACCCAGTTTAGATATTTAAAAGAAGTCTCATGGACTCACAGGGTCATCTAAAAGAAAAAAAAGGCTTTTATTTAAATGCAAAGGATACAGCACAGCAAGAAAGAGTGCAGGCAAATGGTGGAGGTCAGAGAGACACCTCATGCACAAGGTCTTAGGTTAATTTAAAAAATTTATAAATTGCTAATCATTAATCTCACAGCCCTCATGTTGGCAAAGTGTGAAAGCAGACACCCAGCCTTTCCCAGAAATAAAGATAGAGCTTTTCCATTCCAGCTATAAATCAGCACTATCTTACACAGTGATACAGATGACAGGGCAATTCATGCATGCATCTGGGCAGGAGCTTTGCAAACTCAAGTGATCCAATTAAAAAGGTCAGGAATGCTTGATAAATAACAGGTTTATCTGCAGCAGAGTTAGCAAGAGGCACATGACTTACACTTTTAAAGGCTGTTTTGTTGAAAGTAACAAGGACAGAGAGTAAAGAGGGGAAACCAGTTAGTGGAGTACGACTTCAATAACCCAGGAGAAAGCAGGATGGCGCCTCAGACCAGCGATGACATAAGGGGTTTTAGGAATAAAATTTAATGTGAAACAACAGAATGAACTGACAGCTTGGGTGTAGGGTGTAAGAAGAGGTAATTAAATAATGTTTATTGATATATAGCAGGAAGATAAGAAGGCTAAAATGTAAACCCAGACCTGTTTCTAAATTTGTTCTCTCAATACATTTTAAAATTTCTTTTAAAATTTAGGAACATTGAGAGATAAAATCTACATAGGTAATCATGAGCCAAGATGTGTCTGGTGTGCCCTGATAAGGAGTTTAAATTTTCTCACATGTGAATGGGAAAATGCTAAAGTATTTTTGAAGTAGTACAGGAGGGATAACATGGTATGGTTTCCTGGAATGAAGTAGGAGAACATGCAGTCAGATTCCGCCAGAACTGGAGACAAGTGAAACAGCTACGAGAGTGCAGAATACCCAGGAAAGATGGGGTGAGGGCAGGTTTGGAAGGGCTAAAAAGTTTTGTGAGACATATGGAGGTAGAGTCTACTCAGTGGTGAGTGATGGATGTTTTTTGGCTAGAATAATGAAGGAATACAAAGATCTAAACATTCTGACACAATCGCTAATGACACCTTTTACTAACGACATTGTACAGCAGGGCAAGCACCAGTCTGGTGTTAAAAGGATGATGTGGAGGGGAGTGAAGAATAAGTTTGGTTTTGAACATGTGTATGTGGGACACCTGTTGGATATGCCCAGAGAACTCTTAGAAGTACTCCTCTGAAGATAAAAATAGACCAGCTAATCATAATCACATATTTTTATTGTTCTTTTCCTCTCTGTTTCCTCGTTGGTAATTTTCTCTTACTCTGTCAAGCATAGAGACTGGATAAATAAGACATTTATAAGTACCGATTTAAAATACATATTTTAGTGTGGCTCTCATGGAAGATTCAGGAAAATGAAATGGATTTACAGATTCCGTGGGGGCACAGGCATAAGACCCTATAGCCAGTGTCTTATCACACTAATTAAATGCTATCCCTGCAGATGAATAGTGAAATTACAGTTTCATTATGTTAAAATTTAACATTTCTATTTTGTGTATTTCTTTTTTCTTTTTATTTTTTATCCTCACCCAAGGTATTTTTGTATTTATCTTCAGATACAGCAGGAGAGAAAGAGGGAGGAAGAGAGAGAGAGACATACCAAGTAGCTGCCACCCACACGACCCCAACCAAGCTGGGGACAAGTTGCAACTGAGGTACATGCCCTTTGCGGAAACCCAACGCAGGACTCTGTGGTCCACGGGCCAATGCTCTAATCACTGAGCCAAACTGGCCAGGGCTGTTCTGCATATTTCTTTACAGCAGTGACTAAATGATAATGTCAAAAAGCCATAGGTTGGAGAAAAGTTATTACCAAGAAACTCACCATTAGCTGGCCTGATCCAAGAATGAAACAAATCTGTTTTTCTCTCCTTTTGTTGTGGCTTAAAGCTTTCACTTTCAGAAACCCAAATAAATCCTGTGAGTGAATGTATGTAGGCTCGTGTCTGCTGATTGTTCTATCTGCTGTGACCCTTTCGTAGGAAATAATGAGTTTTGCCTGTTTTGAACTTGGGAGACTGTTGCATCCCAAGGTGACAACATCCCATTGTCCACTGTGCAGTTTGCCCTCAGATGCCCACAGCCATGCTAGCTGCTCCCAGCTCAAGAGAAAACACCTACAGTCCTCATCTCTCCAATAGCTGTGATTCCCTCCCTACCCACTCCAGGCTTTGGATTTTGAAGTGTTACTGGGTAAGGCCAGCCCCCAACCGCTAGAGTCACTAGCATTCCTTCTGTCTTCAAGAAATTGCTCGAACTGAGTTCCTGGTCAGATAACTGTTCTGTCTCCATGTGATACTCCTTGACCTATGTAATCTGAGATCCAGGATATATCGTGTCCTTTGGGGGCACCTGGACTTGCTCTTTCTTTACTTGAAGCTGAGTTTTCTGGGTAAGATTTTCTGTGTCCCCTCTCCCCAACTCGCCCTTACTGAGATAGGTGCAATTCTGTCTATCCAAACCATTATCCATGGACCTGAAATCTTCCACCTTCCTGGAGATAAATATGACCTATGGGTTCCTCATCAATAACAAAGATGCTCCTGGGTCAGAGGTCAGGGAACCTCACCACAGAGACCAAGAGTTTCCTTTTCCAAGTGTCCGTAAATTGATGGACATATATATATTTTAAATGTATTCTATCCATACAATGGAGTATTTTTTAGGGATAAAATGGTTACAAGTGGATGAAACTTGAAATCATTTTGCTAAATGAATAAAGCCAGCCACAAAAACCATACATTAAATTGTATAACATATCTAGAGCAGGGACATTTGCAGAGACAAACATTAGAGGTTGTTCAGTGCTGGAATGGGGCCTGGAAATGAAGAGCTGTGATGTGATGTGGTGACAGCCAAAGGGTACAGGACTTCTCTTTGAGATGATGAGACTACAGTTGTCTGTGGTAAGGGTTGCACTTACCTGTGAATATACTAAAAACCCGATTTATTTTTTCATTGTAACTCTTCAATAGGTGAACAATACACACTGAGGCTGCATTTTAAAGTTTCTTTCCTTTTTCTCAACCGATTATAAACTAATACTCTAAGAATAGGTCCATATTGGAAGAAAAGTGCTTTTAATTGCCTTTTCCAAGATACGTCTAAAAATCTTGATTTTCCTTGTTTGCAAAGCTGACAAATTAAGTCAGCAGTAGCACGATTTAAGTAGAAAGTGTCTCGTACAAATAGCTAACATTTCTACTTTCCTTTCTCCTCCATCACAGTAAATAAAGCATGCCCAAAACTGGGACATGGAGAAAAAAATTACCAAGAACTTGACCAGAAAAGCCAATCATGCTTATTTGCCCCCATATCACTACTGAAGGATTTAAACGACGTAAATTTACCCATAAAAAATCAGTTGTGGAAAAACGCACAGGCTCCTTGCTGGGGTTTTCCTTCCCAGACTGGTGGCGGCTGCCCAGCCAATCAGGATCCCTGAAGGTGCGCCAACTAAGGCAGAAGGCAGCTGCAGTTCCCCCCCTCACCCCCCCCCCCCCCCCCGAACCCTGGTACACGTGCTGTGTAGCCTGAGTACTGCTGCCCAGGAGCCTCAGGGCTGTCCAACGGCTTTCAGTCTTGGCTGTGTTCCTGCGCTCTGGCCCAGCCATGTTCCTTCTCCTTGCACTGCTCGCTGAGCTTGCAAAGATACAGGCCAGCAGGGGTAAGGCCATGGGAGGCTGGACTTCCTTCTCCTTTTGCCTCTGAGCAGGGTGGAGCTCTTTATGAAAAACAATTTCCTGTAGCTTGGGACCTCTACTGCCCTCTTCCTGGATCCTCCCACCCTCCCCCTTGCTGGTGTTTTCCTCTGTGTCCACACCCACTTCTCATCCTCAACACCTCCCCCCATGCCCCTGCCCCTCTCCTCCCACTCCCACCTACCCCTTGCCCCAGAGCAGGGCAGGTGACTCGTAATGTTAGCCAAGGAGTCCACTCTGCATCAAGGGTATAGTGTCTCAGGAGCTGAGACTCAGCCTGTCTTCTTGGCTCACTTACCCTGTGGCCATTGGGTTTAGGGGTTTGTGTACTGCTCTCAATTTCTTCCTGGGAGAGTCGAGGGAAACAGTTCCAATGTGGTTCTAAAGGAACAAGATGGTCCTATAAAACTGCAGTGTGTAATTTTTGTTTCTTAGACATTTTCAATGTCATCGTGAAAGCTTTGGACCAAGAAGGAGGGAGGGCAAATATAAATAAATTTATTGACAATTTTAGACCCCATGATGGATTCAGTTAAGAACCCATGTTTAACTAAGATGATTGCTGTTGCGAAAAACAGAAACAAAACAATTTTCTTACAGCAGATTCTGAAGGAATATTTCTGCATGTCACAGTTCCAAAGAAAATAAGGTCAGATGAGAGTGAAGGTACTAAGAGGAAGGTAAATGATGGAAATTATTTGTTTCATAATTAAAAATTTTAGGACTGTTATAATTTACCTTTGTATTAAGTCAGATCAAACTGATTTATTAGTTTGCAAAGCAAAATGTTTTCACTGAACTATTATATTTTAGTGTATTTTGATACTCCCTCTATTACACCTCCATTGCTAACTCCTGCACCCTTTCCTTCATCTCTTCATCTCTTTGACATGCTTGTTCACAATTTTAAAGAAAATACTTAGAAAAAATAATTCAGTATGAAATAAGTATAATAATGGTCCAGCAATAGAGTAACTGGTCTTGAGCAAAATTTAGATCTACAAAATTTTGACCCAGAAGTATCAGGCTTAGAAGTATAGCCAAAGGAAGAAAAAAGAAAAAGAAAAATGTCGTATTTGCCCTATTATGATTGAAATATCATAATAAATATTAACTGGAAAACAAAGTTAAAAAATACTTAACTGACATATAAAGAATTAAATTGAAGGCATTTAGTCTTAAATATTTCAAATTAGCTTGTTCTGTTTTATATTACAAACCACAATTAATTATGCAGGGGTTTAGAGTTCCATGTACTTAAATTGGTGTGGTCAATATATGGTAACTCTGAAAAAATATTTTTATGTTGAAGGAACAATTTTTGAGATGAGTAAGTAAAAAATTAAGAATTCATTCACTCTATTTTTGTCATACTATAATGGAACTTATGATTTTGTTCTGTTACTGAATAATAACAGTAAAAACAAAATGTATCTGAAATTATAATTGAAAACAACAATAAAATAGTTTTTAGAGAAGTTGTACTTTCTTTTTTTAATTATTTTTATTAATTTGTTTTTGTTACATATGTCATATGTTTCTCCTTTTTCCCCATTGACACCCTCCTCCCTATTCCCTGACCCCATACCCAGCTTTGTTGTCTATGTCCATTGGTTATGCATACATGCATGTAAGTTCTGTGGTTTATCCCCCCCCCCCCCAACACCCCTTCTACTGAGGTTTGTCAGTCTGTGCCCTACCTCTATGTCTTGGGTCTTTTTTTTTTCATTAGTGTGTTTAGTTCATTATATTTCACAAATAAGTGAGATCATGTGATATTTGTCTTTCTCTGCTTGGCTTGTTTCACTTAGCATAATACTCTCCAGTCCCTCCATGTCATCTCAAAGGATAAGAAATCTTTCTTTCTTACAGCTGCATAGTATTCTATTGTGTACATGTACCACGCCTTTTTATCCACTCATCTACTGATGGACACTTAGGTTGTTTCCAGATCTTAGCTATTGTAAATAGTGCTGCTATGAACATAGGGGTACATATATTCTTTCTGATTGGTGTTTCAGACTTCTTAGGGTATATTCCTAGAAGTGGGATCACTGGGTCTAATGGAAGTTCAATTTTTAATTTTTTGAGGTATGAGTACTCTATTTATTTTAAATATTAACCCCTTATCTGATATATCATTGGAAAACATGTTCTCCCAGAGAGTGGGTTCCCTTTTCATTTTGATGCTGGTTTCTTTTGGTGTGCAAAAGCTTTTTAGTTTGATGTAGTCCCATTTATTTATTTTTTTTCCTTTGTTTCTCTTGCCCTAGGTGATATATTAGTGAGAATTCTCCTATGTGTGATGTCTGAGTCTTTACTGCCTACATTTTCTCCTAGCATTTTTATTGATTCATGGGTCACATTTAAGTCTTTTATCCATTTTGAGTTTATTCTTGTGTATGGTGTAAGTTGGTGGTCTAGTTTCATTTGTTTTGCATGTGCCTGTCCAATTTCCCAATACCATTTATTGAAGAGACTGTCTTATTCCTATTGTATGCTCTTGCCTCCTTTGTCAAATACTAATTGTGCTTAATGTCTTGAGTTGATTTATGGGTTTTCTGTTCTGTTCTATTGATCTATATGCCTTTTCTTGTGTCAGTATCAGGCTGTTTTTATTATGATGGATTTGTGGTATAACCTGATATCCAGCATTGTGATCCCTCTTACTTTGTTCTTCTTTTTCAAGATTGCTGTGTCTATTTGGGGTCTTTTTTGGTTTCATATAAACTTTTGGAATATTTGTTCTAGATCAGTGAAATATGCCATTGGTACTTTAATAGGGATTGTACTGAATCTATAGATTGCTTTGAGTAGTGTGGACATTAATGATGTTAATTCTTCCAATCCATGAACAAAACATATGCTTCCACTTTTTTATATCTTCCTATATATTTTTTTCAGTGTCCTGTAGTTTCTGAGAACAGATATTTTACCTCCTTTGTTAAGTTTATTCCTAGTATCTTATTTTGTTGTTATTGTTGTGGCAATGGTAAATGAGATTTTTTTTGTGTGTTTTTTTTTTGTTTTTTCAGTTTCCGCTGCTGAGTGTTCATTATGTCTAAAAGGGTATAAAAGTGACACTGATTTCTGGATGTTAATTTTGTAACCTGCTACTTTGCCAAATTCGTTTATTTAATCTAGTAGATTTTTGATGGAATCTTTAGGGTTTTCCAGGTACAATATTACATTATTTGCGAACAATGACGATTTCACTTTCTTCTTTCCAATTTAGATGGCTTTTATTTTTTATTCTTCTCTAATCACTGTGGCTAAGACTTTCAGTATTGCGTTGAATAAAACTGGCAAAAGTAGACATTCTTGTTTTGTTCCTGTTCTTAAGGGAAACACTTTTAATTTTTGCCCATTGCGTATGATGTTGGCTGTATGTTTGTCATATATGGCCTTTATTATGTTTAGATATGCTCTCCCTATTCCCAGTTTGCTGAGTGTTTTTGTTAAAAATGGATGCTGGATTTTCTTAAGTGCTTTTTCAGCATCTATAGATATGATCATATGATTTTTATCTCTCTTTTTGTTTCTGTGGTATATCACTTCTATTGATCTGAGAATATTGTACACGCCTTGCATCTCTGTGATGAATCCCACTTGGTCATGGTAAATATTTTTTTTAAATATATTGCTGAATCCAATTTGCTAATATTGTGTTGAGGATTTTGGCATCTGTGTACATCAGGGACATTGGCCTGTAGTATTTTTTCTCTGTAGTGTCTTTATCTGGTTTTGAAATTAGGATTATTCTGGCCTCATGAAAAAAACTTGGAAGTGTTCCTTGTTCTTGAATGTTTTAGAATAGTTTGAGGAGAATAGATGTTAATTCTTTGAATGTGTGGTAAAACTCCCCTGTGAGTCTGTCTGAACCACTATTCTTGCTTGCATTTTGTCACTCAGCCAGAAAGTTAACAACTGTGCTTATCATTTCAATTTCTGTTTCCATAGGACCTCAAGATCAGCATGAACTGAGAATTTAGGATCTTTTTATCTCTGTTCTAGGCATGTGCAAAGTTTTGGGCGTGCACATAATGTGTGAGAACTTCTAGATTCCCAGAAATTTGTCATAGCTTTTCAAAGCTCCATGTGAACATTTAAAAAATATTTTTTATTGTTTTGTTGTTTTTTTTAGAGAGAGAGGAATGGAGAGAGAGATAGAAACATCGATGTGAGAGGGAAACATTGATTGACTGCCTCCTGCATGCCTTCTACTTGGGATCGAGCCCACAACCCAGGCATGTGTCCTGATCAGGAATCGAACCAGGACCTCTAAGTTCATGGGACGGCAATCAATCCACTGAGCCACATCGGCTGGGCCATTATAAAGCTTTTAAAAAATACTTTTTATTGAATTCATTGGGGTGACATTGGTTAATAAAATTACTTAAATTTTAGGTCTACAATTCTATAACATCATCTGTATATTGTATTATGTGTTTGCCACCCAAAGTCAAGTCTCCTTCTATCACCATTTATACCCCTTTTACTCTCTTCAACCTACCCAGATCTTCTTCCCCCTCTGGTAATCACCATACTGTTGTCTGTGTGTACAAGTTTTTTGCTTAATTCCTTTAGCTTTTTCACCAAGCTCCCCAAAACCTCTTCTCTCTGATAGCTATCAGTTTGTTCTCTATATCTGTGCGTCTGTTTTTATTTTGGTTGTTAGTTTATCTTGCTCATTAGATTCTATATATAAGTACATTATATTGTCCTCTTTTAAGACTTTTTTGTTAATCAGTACTCAAGGATATTTTTTTCATTGATTTTTAGATAGAGTAGAAGAAAGGGAGGGAGAGAGAAAGAGGCTTTGATGTGGGAGAGACACATGGATTGATGGTCTCTCACACAAACCCACTCAGAGCTGGGGATCAAACCTGCAGCCCTGGTGTATGCCCTTGAGTGAGACTTGAACCTGTGACCCTCCGGTCCACAGACCAGGCTGATGCTCTGACCACTAGGTCAAACTGGCCAGTGCTTAAGTATTGTGGTTGGTCTATTGTTTGCACTGCTGCTATTCATTTTATCAGGCAACTGTGAAGTTAAAGAAAAGTTTGTAATTATTTTCAAAAAAATGCCTTTGGGAAAAGGTTTTTGACATCAAGTGTGATCTTATTTATGTCAAATACAGACAGGCTTGAAGTGGATCTTCTAAGAACCACAAAGTACATCAAATCATGACATTCTCTAGAAATGAGATTTTGCAAATGCTCTAGCCACATTCTGCTTATTTTAGAGGTTTCTAGTACACTGGTATTCACTGCAAATGCTTTCTATTTATTTTCAATTAATGAAAGAAGAGACTAGGGTAAACTCAAACCTCCCAAACATAAATTTCACCATGTTCAGCTAATACATTTGACTCCAGTGTGTATGTTTCTCTATATATTACATAGTTGTTTTGTGTAGTGTTCTATAGATGTTTATTAAGATAATTTGTTTGTATTCAAAACTTCTGCTTTCCCATCTTTTTTTCTTGTAGGGGCTATGTAGTTTATATCTCTTGTCATAGTATCCTCCTGAGGGGCATATATGAGACTTGTTCTGTATTTTTTTTATTTCTAAGTGATATTCTTGTAACCCAGGAGAATCAACCTCATTCGGACACAAAGTAGTTTTGAATATTAGGAGCTGTTATTACCTGCGCAGGGACTGCAGCCAACCTACACTGAGGAGAACTGCAGCCCCGAGCTCAGGGGGTGGGTTGCTTATATAGGACAGGGGTCATTCAGAGCAAGCAAGCTACGTGTACAGAAGCGGAGGCAGTTAGTGATAAGCAGGAGGGAACGGAGGTGGGAGGGAGCTGAGGAGAAAGGGAACTGGGTGAACTGGGCCAGCACACATCTATCCTGCTATTCATTCTATTATCTAAGTTTTAAAAACTAACAAATTCGCTTAGAGGACACATTCATTTAGAGGAGTATCAGGCCAGCTGGTACTTCCTCAGGTTGCCTCTGAAAGCTTCATAGTTGGCCTTTTGTTTATTTAATTAGGACAAAGTGATAGGAGCAGGTTATTATAATATGCCACTATTAATTATTATATTAAAGTAATACCGGATAAGTCTGGCAAACTTTTGTTATCTCCTTTCAGACACTCATTGGTTTTGTCTAGACGTTTGTGGGAAAATTATAGCACATTTCTCTCTCAGGGTTTGGAGGAATATCTGCCACATCAGAGACTCTACCCAAACTCATCTCTTCTACCTTCTTTATGATGCAAAATCCTTAGTCTCTTGACAAAAGGTTAAAGAGATTTGTGGCCTGAGGGCACTGGTGAAACCCACTACAAGTAGGAAAAAGAAGAGGAAAAAAGGTCTAATATTGAAGGCAGAGTAAGGAATACTTACTAGGCCTGTTACTGGACAAGGGACCTGGCCCTGAATGGGTCTGCCTAGGACCAGCTGGTAGCGTGTGGGTTCTTGACTTCCTGTGGGAATGGTTTCACATTGCGAGTCCAGGTGACATCGAGGGCATGTTTATTAAAGCTGGGGACAGTGAAATAAGGGACTTGGCATAGAAGAAGCAACAGGAGAACATGGACTGGGCTGCTTTGGTTTGCTAAAAATGTTATGGGTAAAAAATGAGCAGAGGCAGGGTTCCTTTAACTCACTGGGAAGTCAGAGAAAAGAGGACCTTGGAAACAGGCTCAGGAGGTTAGCCCAAGACGAGTTGCCACTGCCCATTGCTCCTCTAGTTGGAAGTCTCCTGAGGACCCTTAGAGTTTAGGAGATGTGGGCCTGTGGAGGAGGAAGAGGGGAAGGGAAAGGCACGTGCTCCCCAGAGGGAGAGTGCACACAGGGTTCTTTGTCTTGAGGGTTTTTTTCTCTCTCTTAGAGGAGGTCTCAAGGAAGGATTTCAGTAGAATGTTAATCAATTTTCTAGGTGTGCTCCTTCAGGATCATGGTGGTCTCCACTGATTGGTCAGTGTCAGGGCAGGGGGTCATTGTTACTGCAGCTGGTCCTGGAGTCATTCACCTGGTTTTACTGCTTTTCTGAGCCTAAAGCTGAAAAACAGTTGAGTCCTAGATGTTATTTCTAGGGAGGTGACCTTCTGTATCTGGCTGCAAATTGCTTGGTCAGTTTGTTCTGGTATCTGTCTCAGTTGCCCCATTCTACTTGCTAAGGAATTTCCCTAGTAATATCCAGCCTCAGGCCCAGTGTTACATTTTTAGTTCTAGGTTATCAGGCTATGTGGGCTTCTTGTGCTTCCTAGGTGCTTCCAGGCATAAACATCAAATACCCTCTCACAGGCTCACAGACTCCCTTCCCTTAAAATCAGAGATCTTTCTTAAAATTAATTTTTCTAGAAAAGAAATTGTGTATTTGCTAGCAGAGATGTGTGTCTGCCTTTGTAGAGACTGTCCACTGACTCACTCTGTAAACATCCTCAGAGTCACCTCCTAGTCCTGGATGTTACCACATTAGGATGATGACACTGTCATAACTCAGTCTATGTTGTATTAAAGCTGATATTCCTGGAACTGCCGTGTTTCTCATGAGCTTCAGTCTCTCAGACCTTTTTACTCATGGTTCATATATGGAGAAGATTATGAAGTGGCTCTAGGTGTATTTGGGAGTATGTATATATGTATTTTTAAATTTGTTTTTGTTTCATTGTATTTAGCATAGGATATTAACCTGCAGTCATGTCTCGTTCATCTTCACTAGAAAATGTTTATACTTTTCAAATAGAAATGATTAATCTATTGTAATAATAATGCTAAAATTGTATTTTTTCAAAATGTGACCTTCAGTTTTTTTCTTTTCAAAAAGACATTTCTATATTTAAATTCACTACTCTAACCCTGAATCTATGATAACAATAAATTCCTTCTATTTAAAATAATAAATTCTGAAGAATATGTTAATTTTAAAAATGGATTGAGTCTTTTTCTGACATGAGAAAAAAAGTTTTACTTCATATATTTTTAATTTACTAACTCATTTGTATTGATTTGCTTTCTTTTAGGCGATTTATATAATTACAATTGATAAAAACCCATATACTCTGCATCTCACAAAACGGTAAGATATGATTTTCTCTTAGAGCTTAGATTTTAGTTTTAAAAAGTTTTGTTACTATTTAAATATAATAATTAAAAAATTCAGACTGCTTAATCAATCAATTGTCAATCTAGAGTTTATTAGGTCTTGAATCTTAGATCTATGAGACTGTTACATTTAATTATTCATCTTTTTATTTTCAAATTCAGAGATAAGATAGACATTTGTAAATCTTTAACTGAGTATAAAACCACTAAACCCAAGAATTGTGACAGATACTAAGTATGTCTGTGAGAACCAAAACATAGTTCACGCATTGAGTGGTTATTGTTGGGAAATTCAACTAGTGGCATACATCTCATAAATGTATTAATAATATATGTATTTATTTTTAACTTTATAGGGTACTTTATATATCATAAAACTCAGTCAACTGTATAATTAAATCAACCATAAATCATTTTTAGAACATTCCATTTCCCACCTAAGATCCTTCATGCCATTTGAGATTTAATCCCTGTTCCCTGCCACCACTCCAAGTAACTATCCATGTACTTTCTGTCAGTGTATTTTCTCAACATTTCAGTTAAATGGAATCAAACAGCCTCCTCTCTGCCTGCCTCTTTGAAAATATATATTTATAAACAACTGCATTTTGTGCACCTGAATCTTTATAGTTGAACAAGTCTGGAGAAATTTATCCTTATTTAATTCATGACTCTTCTCATGTACTTCATGACTATTAAACTCATGTTGGCCTTTAATGTCTCTACAACCCCATTAAAATTGTTTTTTGATTAGACAATCAATGATCTTCATGTTTCTGTATGCCAGTTAATTTTTAGTCTTTATTTTTCTTGACCAACTGGCAACATTTTGTATAACTGACCAGTGTCTCCTCCACCAAATCATTTCTTCACTTGGCTTCCATAATACCACAGACTACTTGTTGAACTCTTAAAACATTATGCTTACTCTTTTACAATATTTTGTTTGTTTGTTTTTCAGATTACTTTTTATGTCTCCAATCTCAGAGAACTCTGTGATGCTATTATTGAATCTTGTTTTTTTTCACTGAGCTATATTCAATCACCTGGCTATTTCATCCAGCCTTAGGGCTTCAAATTGAATTCATGAATCAATTATTCCAAACATATCTATAGTTTATTCCTTTCTAGTGAATGCCATATTTAATTATCTGACTACTTATTTGATAACCAAGTGTTTAATAAAATTTTCATACTTAACATACTTGAACTGCACTTCTGATCCACCCTAATTTATCCTTTTCACAATCATCTCAATAAATGGTAACTCTTTTCTTCCAGTATCTCAGAACAAAAACCTTGGAGGGATTCTTACCATCTCCCCCTGCGCCCCCTCCTCCTTTTTCTTTTTTTGGAGTTTCACAGTTCTTTTTTTTTTTTTTTTTTAATTTATTTATTTTTGTTACAGAGGTTTCTCCTTTTTCCCTCACTGATTACCCTCTCCCCACCCCTCCCAGCACTATCCCCAGCTTTGTTGTCCATGTCCATTGTTCATGCACACGTGCATATAAGTTCTCTGATTTATCTCTCCCCCACTACCCCCCTTTTCTGGGATTGTCAATCTGTACCCCACTTCCATGTCTCTGGGACTACCCCATTCCTCAGACTGTTATGTTCATTATATTCCACAAATAAGTAAGATCATATGATACTTGTCTTTCTCTGTTTGGCTTGTTTTGCTTAGGATAATTTCCAGGTCCCTCCATGTCATCCCAAAGGATAAGAGATCTTTTTTTCTTACAGCTGCATAGTACTCCATTGTGCTATGTACCACAGCATTTTTATCTATTCGTCTACAGATAAACATTTGGACTGTTTCCAGATCTTAGCTATTGTAAATAGTGCTGCTACAAACATGGCGTACATATATTCTTTCTGATTGGTATTTCAGGCTTCTTAGGGTATATTTCTAGAAGTGGGATCACTGGGTCAAATGACAGTTCAATTTTTAATTTTTTGAGGTAACACCATATTGTTTTCCATAGTGGCTGCACCAGTCTGCATTCCCACCAGCAGTGTATTAGAGTCCCCTTTTCTCCACAGTCTTGCCAACACCTGTTGTTTGATTATTTGTTGGTGGCAGCCATTCTGACAGGTGTGAGGTGATACCTCATTCTTGTTTCAATTTGTATCTCTCTGATGATTAGTAATGTTGAGCATTTTTTTATATGTCTCTTGGCCATTTGTATGTCCTGTTTGGAGAGGTGTCTATTTAGTTCCTCTGCCCATTTTTAATTGGGTTCTTTGTCTTTCTTTTGTTGAGTTGTAGGAGCACGCTCTATATATTGGAAATTAACCCCTTGTCTGATATATCATGGGCTATTATGCTCTCCCATACAGCGGGTTGCCTTTCCATTTTGATGATTGTGTCTTTTGCTGTGCAGAAGCTTTTGAGTTTGATGTAGTTCCATGTGTTCATTTTCTCCTTTGCTTCTGTTGCCTTAGGTGATGTATCAGTGAAAATTCTGCTGCGTATGATGTCGGAAATTTTGTTGCCTACAGTTTCTTCTAAAATTTTTATGGATTCCTGAGTCACATTTAAGTCTTTTATCCATTTTGAGTTTAATCTTGTGTCAGGTGTAAGTTGATGGTCTAGTTTAATTTTTTTTTTTTTTTTGCATGTAGCGATCCAATTTTCCCAACACCATTTATTAAAGAGACTGTCTTTACTCCATTGTATGCTCTTGCCACCTCTGTCAAATATTAATTGAGCATATTGCCTTGACCTATTTCTGGGTTCTCTGTTCTGTTCCACTGGTCTATATGCCTGTTCTTGTGTCAGTACCTGGATGTTTTGATTACAGTGGCTTTGTAGTATAACCTGAAATCTGGTAATGTGGTTCCTCCTACTTTGTTCTTTGTTTTCAAGATTGCTGTGGCTATTCGGGGTCTTTTTTGGTTCCATATGATCTTTTGAAGTATTTGTTCTAGTTCTGTCATGTATGTCGTTGGTATTTTGATGAAGATTGCATTGAATCTATAGATTGCTTTGGGTAGTATGGAAATTTTAATCATTTTAATTCTTCCAATCCATGAACAAGGTATGTGCTTCCACTTTTTTATATCTTCCTCTGTTTGTTTTTTTAATGCTCTGTAGTTTTCTGCGAATAGGTCCTTCATTTCTTTGGTTAAGTTTATTTCTAGGTATCTTAATTTTTTTGCCGCAATGGTAAATGGGATTGTTTTCTTAGTTTCTCTTTCTGTGAGCTCATCATTGGTGTATAAGAATGCCTGCAGATGGTTCTTAACATAGCATTCAGTCTGATTTCATTAAAATATCAGTCGGATCTTATTATGTATTGCTCAAAATCTTCCAGTGGATTCTCATCTCATTGACATCATCTTTCACTATTATCTGTTGTCTTAAATTCATTTCCACTCTAGGCATATTGCCCTCTAGTTGTTCTTTGTATACAAAAACATATTTATGACTCATGGTCTTTGCATTTTTTCTTAACTCTGTCTGGAATAACATTTTTGTGACAATCCATGGGCTTGTTTTCCAGTTTTTAGTCATCTAACGTATCATATCATCTCTGGGCCTCTCATGCCATTCTATCCACATTTTGCAAGAAATCTCCTTCACCCAGGCCTTATTTATCATCATCTAACATGCTGGTTGTATGAGTACTTTACTATCATGAAGACCAGTGGTTTTCTCTTTTTTTTTTTTACTGCTGTATCCCATGCCTAAAAGAGGATCTGTCAGACAGCAGGCACTCAGTAAATATTTGTTGAATGAGGACATACATAGGCACACATACAGATATCTGATGCAGAAGATTTACACAGGGTTTTTTTCAGTGTTAAGAAAGCCTGATACATTAGTTCCACAAATTTAAATTGTTATTCCACACTAAAATTACTGTAATTGAAGCATATTATTATATGATTATAATAAATTTTACATTTATTTGTATTAGTGTGATCTTTATATTCCTATTAAATTCATCACTCAACCATTTTATTTTTTATTTTTGTTTCTTAGCTCATTCTTATCACAGAATTTTTTGGTTTATACATTTAATGAAACTGGATCTTTGCATACTGATTCTTCATATTTTAAGGTAAGGCTCAGATATCTTAGACATTTATTATTATAAGTTTCTTTATTGAAATGGACATATCATTACCATTGAGATATGTTTGTTCTGTTTACAGTTTAATGTAAATACTTTATTCCATTAAAATTATGACATGTGATTGATTATTGTACATAAAAATAAGATGAAATACTGAGGTAATATTCATGGACATTTAGGTGGTACAAAGTAAGGAGAGTTGTCAAAAACATTTTCCCCTGAAAATATGCATTAATAAATCTGTATAATAAAAAATCTTATTTTAAACTCTGTTAACATTTTAAGTCATTTATAATATTTAACCATTCATATTTCATTCATAAATTATTTATTTGCCTTTCTATACTGTTTTTCAGATGCATTGTCATTACCAAGGATATATTGCAGATTTTCCAAATTCAGTTGCTACACTCAGCATATGTTCTGGTCTCAGGTAATAAGATCTTATAATATTTATACCTGGAAAACTTGTGATATACTTTAAAATGAAACTTAGTGACTAGCAGATACAAATCTGGGAAAGTTAAAGGGGAATCCAAATCTGAACGTTTTCTTTATGGTGAAATTAATTTATTTTACATTAATATTTGTAGCTTTACTTTAGTGTCTATTCAAATGAAATCACTCTAGGGAAACCTGACTAAAGGTATTTTTCAAGATACTGTGTGGAAAAGGATAGTTTCAGTAAAGGAAAGTTTAGAATATTCCCCTAAACATTACAGCTGAGTTATCTGTTATCTTAAACAGTTACAGAAAATGATGTTAATTAGTTATTTAAATAGACACATATTGTATGCTCAACATTAAAGTGTACTCAGCGTCAGATATAAAACAACTAATTGAGAAAGTATCTCGAAGGACTTAACAGACATTTCTCCAAAGAGGACATACAGATGGCCAACAGGCATATGAAAAGATGTTCAACACTACTAATCATCAGGGAAATGCAATGAGATATCACTTCACAACTCTCAGAACGGCGGTCATAAAAAATGCACAAACATCAACTACTGGTGAAGCTGTGGAGCAAAGGGAACCCTTGAACATTGTTGGTGGTATTGTAAATTGGTGCCTCCACTATGGAAAACAGTATGAATTTGCCAAAAAAATTAAACATTCATTTGTGAAGGTACATACACCCATATGTTCATTGCAACATTCTTCTTGGTGGCCAAGACATGGAAACAACAAAAGTGTCCTTCAGTAGATGATTGGTTAAAGAAGATTTGGTACATATACAATGTAATATTACTCATCAATAAAAAAGAATGAAATCTTTCCATTTGTGACAATATAGATGGGCCTAGAGGGTATTATGCTAAGTGAAATAAGTCAGAGAAACACAAATACCATATGATTTCACTTATATTTGGAATCTAAAAAAACAAACGAATAAACAATGAAAAACAAATAGACTCATAGATATAGAGAATGAGCTAATGATTACTAAAAGAAGAGGTAAAAAAATATTCTCTCAGGTAAAGGACTGAGAAATGTAATTTTCAAGGAAAGTTGTAAGTTTATCAGGAAGATGAGTCCAGAGCAGACTAACTCACTCTCTAACTTTCTATTGGTTTTTGTTAGCCTGATTTACAAAAATTTACTTGTATTAACCAAGAAAATTGGCATTCCCTGAATGTGGTTTTCTTTTATATCAACTTCTTTAGATACTGACGCTATGTTTCTGCTTTTCCTTTTCTTAACCTCTATAAGAAAGGATCTTTATTCTTGACATTTTTAACAAATATTTTGTTTCCCAGCTAATACTTGGCCTTAAATAATATATTTTGAATGACTGTGACTACTGTACAGAAAATACAAAATACTTCTAAATTTATTTAGATCTTTAATATGTAAGGAAATACTAAGGCAGATGTATTAATAATTATTAATGGTACTCACAAAAAAATAGAAAAAAAATGTGTTTAAAACATGTTCCTTTCTATGGTTCATCATTTCTTACAACATTTTATAGTATAATTAATAGGATTTTTATGTCATTACTTTCTAAATGTTTAGGGGATTCCTTCAGTTTGAAAATATCAGCTATGGAATTGAACCATTGGAATCTTCAGCAAGATTTGAGCACATAATTTATCAAGTGAAAAATGATATACCAATGTTAGCAGAAAACTACAGCAATATTTGGCAAAAAGAGCAGAACTATAAAGTGTATTTAAGCTCACAGGTAACTTCAATAATTCTGATGTTATGACATACCATAAAATTAATTCTGTGAAATTTTTTTATATTTTGAAATGGAACTGCTTAACAGTTGAGTAGGAATATTAAATTTGGTATCTTTTTTTCTGTACCTTTAAATAAAACATCCATATTCCACCTAAAATATATGACAAATTATAAGATAATGTATTTTAAGTTTATTGTTTTATTTTATATTATGTAACATTTATTATTCTTTTATTTAAATTAAAATGCATATTCTTAAATACAATTCAGAAATATAGGAAGAATAGAGTCGCTATTAGTTATTACTAATAGTTACCACTTTTACATCTGTAAAAATATTTTCAATATTTTGTTACATGACTTTAAATACTACCAAAACATATCCTTCTAAAATAAATAATCATTCATCTATATTAAAATCCCTTAATTTACCTATGGGCTGGATATTGCTTGACAAGAGTTTTTTTTTCACCACCTTGAATATTTCTTTTTTTTTTAAATTTGTTTGTTTTTTTAGTCTATTAATCTTTATTCTTTGATGGTGAGCTTCAATATTTTATATTTAATGAAATTAAGTTTAAATCTTTCATCTTACTATTTGTTCCTTTTTCTCTTCTTGCCTTATTTTGGACTTACCAAGATTTTTTATTATTCTGTTTTCTCTTTATTTACTTGTTGGTTATGCATTACTTAACTGTGCTTTTAATTGATACTCCAAAAATTACAACATGCATCCTTGATTTATTAAAGCCCAAGCTAAATTAGTATTTTTACTACTTCCTAGATCAAGCAAATACCTTAGCATTTTTTCTATGTTTAATCCCCTTTCAAACTATGTACTATTTCAGTTGCATATTTTAATTTTATATTTTTGAATTATTTTGTTTATTTCTATGTGGTTTTTATTATGTTTTTTTTTTTTTTTTTTTTTTTATCCTCACCGGAGGATATTTTTCCATTTTTTGTACAGATAGAGTGGGAGGGAGAGAGAGACAGAAACAGAAACATCGACGTGAAGGGACACATCGAGTGGCTGCCACCCACACGACCAACCAGGGCCGGGGACAAACTGCAACCGAAGTACATGCCCTTAGCGGGAACTGAACCCGGGTCTCTCTGGACCGCAGGCCGACGCTCTAACCGCTGAGCCAAACCGGCCAGGGCTTTATTATGTATTTTTTAAAACTTATTTGTTACAGATGTTTTTCCTTTTTCCACCATTGACACCTTCCTTTCAACCCGCTGCCCCATCCAGTCCCCAGCATTGCTGTCTATGTGCATGGTTAGGCATACATGCATATAAGTTCTGTGGTTTATTTCTTCCCTCCACCCCGACACCCTCTTCTGAGGTTTGTCAGTCTGTACCCTACTTCTAAGTCTCTGGGTCTAATTTGTTCATCAGCTTTTTTGTTCATTATATTCCACAAATAAGTGAGGTCATGTGATATTTGTCTTTCTCTGATTAGCTTGTTTCACTTGGGATAATGCTTTCCAGGTCCTTCCATGTTGTCTCAAAGTATAAGAGATCTTTCTTTCTTACATCTGCATCGTATTCCATTACATATATGTACCAAAACTTTTTTATCCACTCATCTACTGATGGACACTTGGGCTGTTTCTGGATCTTAGCAATTGTAAATAGTGCTGCTATAAACATAGCATATAAACATATATTCTTTCTGATTGGTGTTTCAAGCTTCTCGGAATATTCCTAGAAGTGGGATCACTGGGTTAAATGGAAGTTTTATTTTTAACTTTTTGAGATAATACCATATTACCTCCCATAGTGGCTACACCAGTCTGCATTCCCACCAGCAGTGAACTAGAGTCTCCTTTTCTCCACACCCTGATCAGTACTTCTTTGATTATTTGTTGATGGCAGCCATTATGACAGGTGTGAGGTAATATCTCATTGATGTTTTAATTTGCATCTCTCTGATGATTAGTGACATTGAGTATATGTCTCTTGGCCATTTGTATGTCCTGTTTGGAAAAGTGTTTCTTTAGGTCCTCTGCCCATTTTTTAAATTAAATTCTTTGTCTTTCTCTTGTTGAGTTATATAAGTACTCTCTATATTTTTTAAATTAACCCCTTATCTGATGTATTGTTGGCAATTATGCTCTCCCATATAGTGGGTTCCTATTTTATTTTGATGGTTGTTTCTTTTGCTGTGCAGAAGTTTTTTAGTTTGATGTGGTCTCATGTATTCATTTTTCCCTTTGTTTCTGTTGCCTTAGGCATTGTATCAATGAAAATTCTGCTGCATGTAATGTCTAAAATTTTGTTGCTTACATTTTCTTCTAGGATTTTTATGGATTCAAGAGTTACATTTAAGTCTTTTATCCATTTTGAATTTATTCTTGTGTATGTTGTAAGTTGGTGGTCTAGCTTCATTTTTTTGCATGTAGCTGTCCAATTTTCCCAGCACCATTTATTGAAGAGGCTGTCTTTATTCCACTGTATGCTCTTGCAAACTTTGTCAAATATTAATTGAGCAAAATTTTTTGGGTCAATTTCTTGGTTCTCTGTTCTGTTCCATTTATCTATATGTCTGTTCTTGTGCCAGTACCAGGCTGTTTTGATTACAATGGCTTTGTAATATAATTTTATATCTGGTATTGTGATCCCTCCTACTGTGCTCTTTTTTTAAAACCTTGCTGTGGCTATTCAGGGTCTTTCTTGGTCCCATATAAACTTTTGGAGTAATTTTTATAGTTCTGTGAAATATGTCCTTGATATTTTGATAGGGATTGCATTGAATCTACAGATTTCTTTGGGTAGTATGGACATTTTAATGATGTTATTTTTTCCAATTCATGAACAAGGTATATGCTTCTACTTTTTTATATTTTCCTCTATTTCTTTTTTCAATTAACTATATAATTTTCTGTAAATAGGTCTTTTACTTCTTTGGTTATGTTTATGCCTAGGTAGCTTAGTTTTTTGCCACAATGGTAAATGGAATTGTTTTTTTTGTTTGTTTTTTGGGGTTTTTTTTTTTTTAGTTTCTCTTTCTGTGAGTTCGTTATTGATGTATAAGAATGCCATCAAATTCTTACTGTTAATTTTGTATCCTGCTATGTTGCCGAATTCATATATTAAATTTAGTATATTTTTTTATGGAGTCTTTAGGGTTTTCTATGTACATTATCATATCATCTGCAAATAATGACAGTTTCACCTCCTCCTTTCCAACACGGATTTCTTTTTTTTTTTTTCTTCATGTCTGATTGCTGTGGCTAAGACTTCCAGAAGTATGTTAAATAAGAGTGGCGAAAGTGGGTATCCCTGTCTTGTTCCTATTCTGAAGAGAAATGCTATTAGTTTTTGCCCATTGAGTATGATATTTGCTGTAAGTTTTTTATATATGGCCTTTATTATGTCAAGATATGATCCATCTATTCCTACATTGCTGAGTGTTTTTATAAGAAATGGTTGCCAGATTTTGTCAAATGATTTTCAGCATCTATTGATATAATCATATGGGTTTTATCTTTCATTTTCTTTATGTGGTGTATCACATTTATTGATTTACAAATATAGTACCATCCTGGAATGAATGCATCCCTGGAATGAATCCCACTTGGTCATAATGAATACTTTTTTTGATGTATTGCTGGATCCGATTTGCTAATATTTTAAGGATTTTGGCATCTGTGTTCATCAGTGATACTGGCCTGTAGTTTTCTTTCTTTATTGTGTCTTTATCCTATTTTGGAATTAAGATTATGCTGGCCTCAGAAAATGAGGTTAGAAGTGTTTTGTCTTCTTGGATTTTTTGAAATAGTTTGAGAAGAATGGGTGTTAGATCTTCTTTGAATGTTTGATAAAACTTCTCTGTGAAGCTGCCTTTTGTTTGTGGGGAGTTTCTTGATTACATCTTCAATTTCCTGAGTTGTTATTGGTCTATTCAAGTTTTCTGTCTCTTCCCAGTTCAGTTTTGGGAGACTGTGTGTTTCTAGTAATTTGTCCATTTCGTCTAGATTATCCAGTTTATTGATGTATAGTTGCTCATAGTATGTTTTAATGATATTTTGTATTTCTGTGATGTCAGTTGTAACTTCTCCTCTTTTGTATCTGATTTTGTTAATTTGGGTCCTCTTTCTTTGTTTCTTGGTGAGTCTAGGTAACGGTCCATCAATGTTTATCTTTTCAAAGAACCAGCTCTTTGTTTCATTGATCTTTTGAATTATTTTTTTATATTCTATGTTGTTTATTTCTTCTCTGACCTTTACTATTTCTTTTCTTTTACTTGTTCTGGGTTTTTCTTTTTGTTTACTTTTTAGTTCTTTAAGTTGTAGGGTTAGAAAGTCAATTAGCAATTTTTCTTATTTCTTGAGGTAGGCCTGCAGTGCTAGGAACTTTCTTCTCAGGCCTGATTTTGCTGCATCCCATAGATTTTATGTTGTTATGTATTTATTTTCATTGGTTTCCAGGAAGTTTTAATTTCTTTCTTAATCTCCTTGGTAAACCCATTTGTTGTTTAATAACATGCTATTTAGCTTCCATGTGTTTGAATGTTTTTGTTGTAATTGATTTTGTGATCTGAGAAGATATTGATATAACTTCAATGTTCTTGAATTTGTAGAAACTTACTTTGTGTCCTAACATGTGGTCTATCTTCAAAAATGTCCCGCGTGCACTTGAAAAGAATGTATATTCTGAAGCTTTGGGGTGAAATGTTCTGTAAATATCAATTAAGTCCAACTGATCTAGTTTGTCATTTAAGGACTCTGTATTTTTGTTAATTTTTTTGTCTAGAAGATCTATCCAGTGGTGTCAGTGGTGTGTTAAAGTCTCCCACTATGATTGCATTGCTATTGATCTCTCCCTTGAAGTCCTCCAGAAGTTTTAAATATATTTTGGTGCTCCTGCATTTGGTGTATATATGTTTACCAGGGTTATATCCTCTTGTTGGGTTGATCCTTTTAATACTATGTTGTGACCTTCTTTGTCTCTTATTATGGTCTTCACTTTGAAGTCTATCTCATCAGATATGAGTATTGCTACACCACCTTTATTTT